AGGTTTTAAAAGGTAAAATAATTTTTAAAATCTCAGTCTCAAAAGTTGTGCATTTAAAAAAGAAATATATTAAATGATATATATTATTTATTAATAGTACACAATTTTAAAAACTCCATTATAAAATATATGTTGATATCGAAACCATTTTATAATTGCAATCGGCTTTGTTAAATCTCCAGGAAAATGTGGTTAAACAAAATGAGACGATCAATTTTGTATGGAAATAAAATAAAATCAGTAAATCAATATGATGTTCACATAAATAAAAAATTAGTAATTTGAATAGTACACGAATCTCAAAATTAATACTCAAGTGGATTCTAAAATGCAAACTTATATTACCTCCTGTTCATTATAAATGTCGTTTTGACTTTTGTGATTCATCCATTTTGTTATGTATCTAGACATATTAATGTCTAGATACATAACAAAATGGATGAATCAAAAAAGTCAAAATGACATTTATAATGAATAGGAGGGAGTACTTATTATCATTTTTTGGAAATTGAATGATATATTGTGGACAAGATTTTTTAAAACTAATAAAAATTTAATTACTATATTAAATTGGTTAGAATTTAAGATAAGTTAAGACTCGATTTCAAAACTCAATTGATGAAGAAGAGACCGCGATTTCGTTTCTAAATAAATATGATAAGCTTCGTATTTAGATTATTTATTTCCTATTAGTATTGTTCCTTTTATTTTGTTACCTTAGTTATTTTATTATGGTTGGTAAGTAAATAAATATCTAGCCTAGCTTGTTAGGCAAGATAAGTATGACTCTATATATTTATCTCATCTCTATCGTAGTCAGTTGGTTGAATTTGAAGAAGATTTCTGATATTTGAGTTTTGTGTTTTATCGAGAGAGTATCTCGTTTTATCCTTCCCATTCGTACGCTTCCCTACATCAGTTGGTGTCAGTACGATTCGATTCGACGATGCCGCCAAAAAAAGATGCCGCAAACGATCAACGGGACGCCGTCTTCAACGACCGGTTTCAACAAATTGACGATCGGTTTGTGCAGTTGGAGGAACGTTTCATGGAACGATTTGAGGGTCGTTCTTCGGGGATCGTAGATCTACGTTTGGCGCTTAACAACGTGGTCCGGGAATTGCAAATGAGCCGTGACGCTGGCGACCGGGGTGTGCGTGGGGGATTTCGCGGGGTCGTGGTGGTCGTGGTCTAGGCGGGGCGCCCCGCCGGCGATCGCCACACCCGCCGTCCGGCGAGGACGACGACGAGGACACCATCTCCGTGGTTAACCCGTTTGCGGAGTTGCAGCAACCCCGTGACGACGAGGACGACTTCAACGGGCATAGTGGTCGGGGCGTTCGACGCGGCGAACAGGAATTCACCGGTGGAGATCGTAACCGCGGGGCCTTGGGTTACGGCCGCGACGACGCAGGCCTCAGACGGTTTCGGCGCGATTGGCCCGATGGTGACTTTCAGCAACCTCGCGGGGGCTGACGTGACGAACAGGGTTTTGGCGGTGGCGACGATCGTGCCGGCGTGGTCCTCGGTGATCAGCACCGTCGCGTCCATGCGGATGAACAGAGACGTCGCGACTGGGACCTGGACGGTGACGGGCATGCCTTCGACGGCGGTGGACGACAGCGGCGTGGCTGGGACTTTCCGGAGGAGGGCGAGCAGCAGCGCGATTTTCGTCGATGTGACGCGTACAATGACCTGCAGCGGCGTCCTTTTTTCGGGGGATAGAGGGCGGCGGTGAATCACGCTGGGAGCAAGGTTTTCGGGTCGAGATTCTCGAGTTCTCGGGTGGGCTTGATGCTGCTGATTTTCTGGATTGGTGGGCTTCCGTCGAGTCTGTGTTCGAGTATAAGGTTGTGCCGGATGATCGACGTGTCGCGCTTGTCGCTACACGGCTTCGTGGGCGTGCGACGGCTTGGTGGTTGCAACTCAAGAGTTCGCGGCATCGTCAGGGCAAGCCGAAGATCACGACTTGGATTAAATTTCGTAAGCACTTGGAACGTGAATTTTTGCCTTTTAATTATGCTCGTTAGATTTATCAGCAATTTCAGAATTTACGGCAAGGGGCACGTTCCGTTGATAAGTATACGGAGGAATTTTATCGCATTTTGACTCGTGTGGAGATTCAAGAGACGACAGACCAATTGGTGTCGAGATATGTGGGCGGCTTACGTGTTGCTATCCAGGATACAC